CTGCCCTCAGGTGAAGAATAGAATGACTTTGGTAACTACAAATTACCAAATTGCAAATACAAACACTGAGCAGGAAGTAAATCAGAGCGATACATTCAGAGGCTCCATTGATTCAAGGTCTTATAGAGGTTCCAGCAAATTGTTTTGATCTTTTTGGTACCATATTTCTGAATGTTAGTTGCTTGTTAAGATCAGATTTTTTTGCTGATGGTGTTAGAGCATCATGTATGGGGCTTTTTGCATTTGCAGTATTGTTAATGTATTTGAAATACTTAATACTAAAAATCAATGAAAGGAATCATCCAGATTTAAAAGACAACATGAACTCTGTACAGTGTGCACAAAAGTAGCTATTGTAAGGACTAAAGTATTGTTATGAATGTGAATGTAAGAGAGAGACTGTCAAATCTGTTTTAGAACAACTCTGGTGCCAATAGGGATCTTTCAAAATACTAGATCATCACTTCTACCAACAATTTTTTTAACCAATTGTTAAAAAGTCAAATTAATCCACTTATGCATATGATTGCCTTTCTAGTGGTATTTTTTTTTTCTGAATTGTTGGCTATTCCTGACCAAACTCTTCAAAACTCTACACAAAAAAATGAAAAAAAAAAACAAAAACTAAATTAACCCCTGTCCCTTCATAATTATTGAAACTACTCCAGCCAGATAGGATAGCTTTATAATCCTTTTTCCCAAGGTGTAGAGTTGCAGGACAAATGTTCTCCTGCTTTTTTTTTTTTATTCTAGGAGACATTAAACAATATATTTGGTTTTCTCTGTGAGATCTCATAGGAAATACAGTAGCTATGCACTCACTACAATTCTTTTCACTTGACTAAGATGCCTGGAGAAAGAACAGCCTGGTAATATCCAGATATGTTTCTAACTTCTTGAAAAGAAAAGAAATTCAGTGACATGGTAGAGGAGATTTGACCGAAATAATGATCAGTGGTTCCTGAGGAAAATTATTTTGCCATTACAAAAATATGACAGGATTAAAATAAAAATAAATAAATATTTTAATTATGTAATAAAATCTGTTGATCAAAACTGGCATAAGTGTTATAGTAGCTGGGACATTGGGGTACTTAGACAAAAACAGGTATTCCCAGACTGCAAATCATCTGAAAGAGATAATATTAGAAGGTTGCATTCAGATCAAACACTGCATTACAGTTTTATCTGTCTGATTCAAGAGCTTGCAAAGGCTGACAAAACTCTCACAACAAACTTACAACAAACTTCACATTGAATAGAAGGATATGCATGTTTCTTTGAGTGACATTTCTTCTTTTTTTTTTTCCTCTCTTGGAAGTGGAATTACAGGTTAACACAAGTGTTGGCTGCAGAACACAAAATACTGCTGAGTTCACAAAGGCATTTGCAATTGCTTTTTGGAAACATAAAGCATTCCTGTAGAAAATGCTGTTTTAATGTAGCATAAAAATACAATTTAATCTCTAAGCAGGTGTGACTGTAAATAGGGAGAAAGTGTAGTTACTGTTCTTTCTTGTCATCAATTCCTCTAATTATTTTGCCTCATCATAAGAATTATAGTTTTTATAGCATCAGAGCTAATTCATGTCTCTAAAATGGATTATTATATTTATCTTTTTATGCAGAAATAATAGTTACACATTCTACATTAACAAGAAACACTACTGGTTAGAAATTTCATTCCTGAAGTTAAATAGCTAATATGTTAGATGTAGGATAGAACAGATGGTTAAGTGGGTAGAGCATCAAGTTACTGGGCCTTGACTGTGATGCAATGCTTGAACAGGAAATGTTCCTCAATCTGGTCACCTATGAGCATACGTTTTCCTTCTTTTGCCATTTTTTGGGAAAGCAAGCACTAGTATTTGCAATGATATGCTTCTAAACCATTTCATTTTTTTCTTTGCATAGTTTTGCATAGCTTTGCATTTTCTTTTTTCTTCTGAATAGCTTGAAAACTTGAGAAATAAGGGAATTAAAGTGCACTCACTAACTTTTCTTTATCTCGATGTGAATTAATTGCAGCGATGCATGCTGGTTTTATTCTTATAATTTATTAACTCCATTTCCTAAACTTTTTTTAAAATACATTATATTATTATCATTATCTATAGGCCTAGTTTAGTTGATCTTGTCTGTATCTACAGCAATAGCAAATTTCTTACTGCAGTGAACATACTACTTGGACTATCAACAGAGATTTCTCTCCTTTGTACCTAATAATTTGTGGATACTTGAAAGATCACCTTTCATGAAAAGATACCTTTCATGGATACCTGAAAGATCAATTGTTATTACTAGTAAACTAGAAAATTCTTGGAGAACCAAGAAACAAATATGATAAAAAATTGTCAGACATACTTCTTGAGATTGTGATAACAATCTCAGTACAATTGGTATCTAGTTTTTCAAAACTGTCTCTATGCTTTTAAAACAATTAGATGTTACATCAGTTTGCGGAGTCTTTATATAGGCCACAGCTGCCATAAAAAGTACATAGTATTATCTATGATGGGCAAATGATGAGAAACATATAATTACTGACTTCCTGAAAATGTCTGATTTCTGGCTCTTAGCTATTTAGATGTTTAAACCTTAGCAATGTGAAATCAGTGAGAATTAGACTAGAATTCAGGTTTTTAATTTTGAGAATCTAGTATAAATATTAAATATGTATTACTCTGGACCTTGTGATGGGGAGAGAGGGAAAATCTGCTTATTCACGATCATACTCAACTTCTTGAATGTGCTTTTTTCCTGAAATGTTCTGTCTCATTCATCATAAGCTTTACTCTATTTACAACTCGTGAAGTACAGATCTGACTGTAAGCAGACACTTTATAAGCTGCCTTTTTTTTTTTTAATGGAAGTAAGTTTAATGAAGTAGCAGATACCACTAGGAAATAGAATGAAACTTGTAACTATATCATAATATAGGTGATGAAAATAAATTTGTTTTAATTTTGGTGAATGTCACTTCATCCTCTTAATGCTGCTGTAACATCATCTTTCAATGTAATGTATGTATTAATGCTCTTTGATTCGAAGACACATTATTTGGGCTACCAGAGTACATTGAAATACAAAGCATGAGATCTGCAGTGGTTAAGATTTCTGAAGAGATGACTTGGACAAGCCTTAATATAAAAAAACTAATTTTGACTGTCTGCTCTTTGCAGAGAATTAGTTAAAATTGATTCTTCTGGCCCAGTTGTTAAGGAGTGCCACACACCTTTCCTTGTGCTCAATGTCCACTTACACTGTCATTTCTCTGGAGAGATGAAAATTGAAAGAGATAAAATAAGTCAACAAGATGGAAATATTATTCTGGTAGGAAAAAATTTGAATTTGTGACATGAAAAGATAAAGAGACTGGTTTAGGTTTTTAGAAGAAATCTGTTATAAAGCCAGAAGTAGGAAACCAGATTCATTAAGTTCCAAAATGTAAGAATTTATTCTATATAGTACAACTGTCATCATCAAGCTTTCCATTTCATAAATTCTTAATTTTCTACAGAAACAATAGAATCATTTTCTCATTTATGATGTCTTTATTAAAAGAAACCAAGGAGATGTTCTGTAAATGTGAGGCTGTTCATCTTCTTGGTGGCAGGATTAGATGTGGAATCTTTTGATATTGGCTCAAGCCCTATTACAACTCCAGTAAATTCACAGCAACTGTGGTAAAAAAATTATATAGTGAGTCTTATAATCACTACTAGGATGTTTTTTTTTTTTTTGCAAAGAATAATTAAAATATAAACAAAACAAGCAAGCAAACAAACAAGCCAACCCTAAAAATCCACACTCCAAACCCTGAAATCCTGCCTGCATATGTTTCAAGTCTCTGTGCAGATTTGTAGCTCAAAGTCTTTGAGCATCATTCTCCAATTGGAGCAAAACTAGTGGCAGCAGCAGCAGATTTTTATTCTCAGAGTGAGAAAAAGGCATGGAGAGAATGTGATGCCCCTCTGAGCAAACAATCTCAGAATCATGAGACAAACAAGATACTCTTGGAAGCATGAATTCGACTTTGTTATTCCCTGTGCTGGAGAGGGCAAAACTGCTTATAGCCAGTACAACAGCTGTTAGTGCAGTCAGCTTTGCTCAATTGTTCGTAAGTAGCACAGAGAAGTGCATCACCTGATGCACTCAGCCTCTAAGTCAGTGGAGATTTCTTCATATCTATGTCATACATTCTAAAAGAGGAAAATATGATATTTACCGTCTTCCTGGCACAGCTCTCTGAAACCTCGTTGTGTAATACAGACAGTAAAGAGAATGACATTGGAAAGCTTCCTCTGCTTCTCAGCCCTAGGCATTATTATTTCTATCAAACTATTTCTGAGAATAGAAGACTACATTACATGCTGTTTTATGATCAAATTCCCATTTGTATCAGCTGAAACTAGTGATTTTTCCCCAGAGATTTCATAGAAAAATTAGGTCAGAAAACACCTCTGAGATCATAAAATCCAACCTATGACCTAACAGTGCCACGTCAGTAGACCATGGCACTATGTGTTATGGCAAGTCTTTCCTTAAACACTTCCAGGGATGGTGACTCCACCACCACCCCAGGAAGTCCATTCCAAAATCTAGTCACCTTTTCTGTGAAGAATTTCTTCCTAATGTTTCGCCTAATCTTCCCATGGTGCAGCTTAAGACTGTGTCCTCTTGTCCTATCACTGGTTGCCTGGGACAAGAGACTGACCCTCACCTGGCCTCAACCACCAGTCAGGTAGTTTGAGAGAGTGATAAGGTCACTCCTGAGCCTCCTCTTCTCTAAGCTAAACAACCCCAGTTCCCTCAGCTGCTCCTTGAAACATTTGTGCTCTAGACCCTTCACCCGCTCTGTTTACTTTTTCTGCACACTTTCCAGAATTTCAATGTCCTTCCTGAATTGAGGGACCCAGAAATAAATACAGCACTCAATGTGTGGTCTCACCAGAGCCAAGTACAGGGGGACAATCACTGCCCTGGTCCTGCTGGCCACGCCATTGCTGATCCAAGCCAGAATGCCACTGGTCTTCTTGGCCACCTGGGCACAGCTGGCTCATGTTTAGCTGCTGTGGACCAGGGATGGTCCTTAGCCACTGGACAGCTTTCCAGCCACTCTGCTCCTAGCCTGTAGCACTGCATGGAGTTCTTGTGGCCATAATGCAGGACCTAGCACTTAGTTTTGTTGAACCTAATGCTGTTGGTCTTGGCTTATCAATCCAGCCTGGCCGGGTCTCTTTTCCAGGGCCTTTCTACACTCCAGAAGATCGACACTGTGACTCAGCAAATCTGCTAATGCTAGACTCAATCCCTTCATCCAGATAATCAAAAAAGATGCTAAACAGGACTGGGCCCAACACCAATCCCTGGGAGGCACCGGTACTGACTGGTCACCAACTTGATGCAGCATCATTCATCACAATTCTCTGGGCCTGGCTGGCCAGCCAGTTCTTAACCCAGCAGCAGTGCACCTGTCCAAGCCATGGTCTGCCAGCTTTTCCAGGAGAATGCCATGGGAAATGACACATGCCAGTGTTAAGGCTTTGCTTAATCCAGATAGACTACATCAATTTGTACGTAAATGTAATAAGCTTAGATGTGCATTTCTTCTCCTCAAGGAGCTCTGCTGTCTACAGAATTATTACAGCTCTGTTCAACCTATATTTGGAATTTCAATATTCTATATTCTATTTTGTTCAATTTCTAAACAACATTTTTATAGAGAATGGCAGAACACAGCAGCCTTATCCACTACATAAGATTTCCAAAATTGTACTGAAAGAGGGATAGGTAGAGAAAATACTTATAGGTCATGAAAGGAAAGATAAGAGCATTACTTTTTTAAAACTGATCTTGGCACTGGATGGATTTTCATGTCACTCATTCATGCTGATTAATTCCATGCTAGACAGATAATTGTGACATATATTTTCACTGAAAATTGATAGTTCCAAATAAAACTACTTCAGTTCTTAACCTAATTTCTGAGAATGGGAACAAGTATGTAAATTTCTTAAGGACTTTTGAAAGTGTTATACCTTAAGTAGAATTCAATTTATACAAAACCAATCATATTCAAATTTGCAAGGTTACTATCCAGAGCCCAACTAGCATGGTAGAGTATTCACAGAATTTTGTGTTCATCATGGGATGAATCACACAATAGAAGTACGAGCATCTGACTCACTATAGTTATAATTTGGAGTATATTTATGTATTTGTTCACTTGATCATGTGAACAATCTAGTTAATTTTAATTATACTGCTAAATAGGATGTGTGTGTTTAAGTATTTGTATGATTTTGTTCTACAATAAGAGAAAATCTCATATAAAAATATGGAGAATAGTGTTGAAATGGTTGAAGTTATTTATGGATGTTTATGGAAAAATACAACAAATAATGGGATCAGGACAACTTTTTGACATACAGCCCTTTATGTGTAGCCATGGCATAAATCTTTTTTAACACCTGTGGAGTTGTCTCACCGAAGTGAATGAATTTGTGCTGCTGTGAAATTATTAAAGACATAGAGAGAATAAAGCCCTATTCCTGTTATTGAAATATCTGATAAGTATGCTGTTCAGCATACTCGTTATTTGATTTGCCCAGCCCTAATAACAAGTCCCATCTGTTTTGTGAGGCCTATGAGTCATAGTGCCTCCTGCATAAGTCATCTCTCTGAGTATCTCTCATTTTTATTTTTAACTATAAAAGAAGCCAAAGCAATAAAATGCAATAAATATACTTTGTGTTTCTTGTGTATTAGAATTGCCTGGAAATAATTTTTATATCATAACAATGCAGTAATTTCTCATAATAGTTAATTATATTGAAAGAGTAATCAGATAAAATGCACAAATTGCCATTAGATCTTAAGAGTTCCATGTCACTTTTTTCTCTCTGTAGAGAGATTAATGTCTGCTTACCCTTTTCCATCATTCAGTTGTGAATATAGTTAAGAAAATCTCTGTTGCAGGAATGATGCTTCTCATTTTATTAGTATCCTTGTCTCTAGGCAGGTTGTCATTTTTCAGATGTTTGTCATTCTGTAGTAACAAAACCTGGTGACTCATCCAGCAAAGAAACTTTCCAGTTGATCTCAAACTCTTGCTGAAACTGAAAAGCCAGGAATTTAATGCATTTAAAATTCCAGCAAGGGATCCAGGTACTTCCTTGCATATGCCATTGCCCTTGAAATGATAGCAGCAAGCCTAACTAAAGGCCACCTACATAGCCGTATAACCAGGAGAGGCTGAAGGAGGCAGATTCTGTACATTAAATCCACCTTGAGTAAATACAATTTCCACCATTACAACCATGTTAATGGAGCAGAAAGAGCAAAGATTTTTTTCAGAGACAGCAAAACAAGTTGCCAGAGCCCCAAAACAGGCTGTATAATGGGGGAGGGGAACAAGTGCTGGCAATACACAAGGAGAAAGGGAAAGGCTCCTTCATGTTCTCCTCCTTTTTTCTTCAGGCAAAATATTTTATCATACACCAGTGGCAACAAGAATAGACAATATACAACTAATATTTTTTAGTGTGATAATTTAAAAACTGCAGGAGCATAGTCTTGTGTTTTCAAAGTACTTCTTTTAACTTACTTTTTTCATGTCATGATTTTGGTGGATTTTGGGTTTTTTCTAGAATGCAAGGATTTCTGTAGCTTAGGGCAGATATTATGCGTTTGTAGTGTTAATGTATGCTTGTATATATGTTTCATGTAGGATTCTGTCTTTTCTACCACATACTTCTGTAATATAAAGAATAAATATAGAAACTCTATCCTATTTATCTAATAGGATAACTTCCCATTTGATGCCAAGAATTTCTAATAGAGGCAAAATTTATTAATATCTTCCTTTTTTTTTAGGAGAAAACAGATTGTGAAATTCTATGAGTAGGGTTTTCTGAGTGTTTTCTTACAATCTCTAAAGCTTTCATCTCAAGGTAAAGTTCTCAGGTTTGAATTCTGCCAAAATGCAGAGCTTATTTTTGTCTTTTGAAGAAACAATAATCGGTATTTTTGCTATGTTTTGTGAGCTGTGATGGATCCTCAGTGAGCTTACCTTATGTTTGCTCAAAGGCACAGAGAACATCATGATAAACAGCAAATACTCTCCCTGGGAAGAAGCAGACAATGACTGTTGAAGTTGCACCTGCCTTTGCATGCCTGTCAGAGAGCCCAAAGCTGCTGTTTCTGCCAGAGAATTCAAATTCAAGAAAGAAGGGAGGTAAGAAATATACTTCTTGCCTCTGCACAATAATCTGTCATTGGAGTAGCTGATGTTGTAGCTGATGGAGAAGGAAGAGAGGGAACAGTGTTCTGCCTAAAGTATACTTGCTTCTTATATTCGCATATTTTTGCGCACACACATGTGGAGAATTGGCTAATGAGGGAAGGAAAAAGGTTTTTATTCATACATAGTCTGATAGAGCTGAAACAGATGCTGCTGCTGTTGCTGCTGAGATTTACCAGTATAAGATTTCCTATATAAATCTTTAACACCATTTATGGTGTTAAAAGCATGTTGCTATAATATTTTCCTGCGTTGCTGTACAGTTCTAACACTATTTTTCTATAGAATGGTTTGGATTGGTAGGGACGATAAAGATCATCTAGTTCCAACGCCCCTGCAGTGGGCAGACACCTTCCACGAGACCAGGTTGCCCACCCAGAGAGGTCTTGAATACATTAGAGGCTTCAATACAGACAAACCACTGACATAATTTTACTATTTTATTATTTTTCAAAGCCTGTAACCAAATGGCAACAATCTTAAACTGAAAGAGAGTAGATTTAGATTGGACATAAGGACAAAGTTTTTTTTATGATGGTGATGGTAAGAGACTGGAATAGGTTGTCCAGAGCTGTGGATACCCCATGACTGGAAGTGTTCGAGGTCAGGTTGCTTAGGACTTTGGGTAACCTGATAGACATTGGTAGATGTCCCTATTCCTGGCAGGCAGGTAGACTACAGGATCTTTAGAAGCCCCTTCCAACCCAAATCATTCAATTATCTAAATTTTATGGCTTCTAATTTCCAAAGAAAAAAGACATTGTGAAAAGAAGGGAAGAAGTTTTAAAAATTTAAAAAAGGAAGAGAGATTTAAAATTTTGGAAATCAAACTGTTTACAGAGTCCAAAAATACCTAAAGCATGGACCCTATAACTCTCTTGGATAAACCTGCATGCAGTATTTGTGAACTAGAGACAAAACTAAGCATCAATAAGATAACAAATGTGTGTTTCATCAAATAAGCTTCCCAGAGAAAGTGAATTGAATGAAATTACCTGTGGCTTCCTGAAAATGAGTTATATGTATTTGCCTATTTTTTCATCACTCTATAAATATTTTAATTTGAAAAAATCTAAGCCAATTTCAGAGGGCTGACAAACACAAGTCTTTGATTCAGAGCAAAAAGAAAGTTGTTTGCTTCAGCTGAATGTTTAGTAATGCAATGTCTATGGCCAGAAATAAGAAGCAAAATACAAAAGAACTTTTTTGGATGCTTTGTCTCTACATCTACTGTTCTCTAAATGCAGGCTGATAGTGGTCCTATTATATAGGTATTGCAGCTCTTAAGACTTTAAATAATAGGAAGAATAAATTATTCTGATTTAGCACATGCATAGGTTTATTGATGAGTAGTATTTTATTGTCTCTTTAATTTTGAATTTGCTCATATTTTTTTGAAGTGGGGAAAATCTAATGAAATTTTTGAGTGAAACGTACAAACACATTTTTCATTAACTCATGACTTATAATGTTTGCTCAGATTCCTAAAATAATTACTGTAATGAAACTCTTGTAGAGGCAAGTAAAATGCATTGTATCTAATTAAAACCTTATGAAATATATTTGGACACTATATGAAATTGAATACAACAAATAACAAAAAAATCATTAGAGACAAAACGAACATATATTTAAGCTTAATTGCATTTTTGCTCTCATTTGCTAATGCCCTCTCTACTTGAGACTTTTTTTATACTAACATTTCACACATTTTAAGTAAATATAACCTGAGATAGTTTTCATCATTGCTTATAGCAAAACAGAGAAATTATTTAAGCTGAAAGATTTGCATTCTAGATTTGCCTTTCAAACATTCCTATATTCCGAATGCAGTCAAATGTGGAACCATCATTTTGGTTTTATTCCTGCTTACATTCAGTGCCAAAATACAGGCTCTGTGTTCAGTAAAAAGTAAAGAGGTGTATATCCTTGAGGTGTATATTACTCCCACTTTTGCATCTCCCTGCCTGCTCAGTTGACAAATTTTCTGAGAAAATGGACCCTCATCCTCTCCCCACTTTTATCTTCTGCTGTCAGCCTTCAAGGCTGTACCAGAAAGGTTGGTACTTATAGAGTTCTTGACTTTGATGGAAAAGTTAAAGGCATCTTAAGAAGCTCTTGCTCCTCCACTGGCTCTTTGTCTTTGCCACAACAGTTGTGTTACTGTTACTCTGTATAGACTCTGTTACACAGCATACTACTGAAAAAGTCCATCTAAAATAGAACTACAGAGATTTTAATTTCTGAAAGTTCCCCTTCTTTGTTTTCATTTTTTTTTTTTTATTTTTTTTTTATTTTTTCCCATAGTATTACCTCAATAAGAGCTGTACTAGCACGGAGGAGGGTGCAGGAAGGTGCAGAAAAGATGTTACCATAAGTGACAGGATTTTGTGCTTTCTTTATGAATTTTCTTTTTTTTTATTTTAGTTTTATTTTTCTCCTTTGATTATTTATACAGTTATTGTCTAGAAGTCCCATTTAAGCCTTCAGCTCTAGAAGTCTATAGCAAAGCAAGCCTTTCTGACAGCATGTGTTAGAGCATCATGCTAGATTAGGTTATGTTCACCAGGAAGCATAAAATGTCCAGGTGGTGTTAGATGACTAGAGATAGTAGGGGACTGCCTTTTTCAGCTCTGAGCCACTGATGCAAACCCAAATAAGCTGTCAAATACACTCAATTTTGGCCAGCTATGAACTAAAAAAAAAAAAGTTGCAAAGGTTTACACTGAAAATTATTTTGAAGCTCATGTATGTGGTAGTTAAATTCCAGACCAAAATTAAACTCCAAATAAGCCACCCCCCTTCTCCCCACTCCCTTCAGCAAGCGAGGGACAAAAGCAGAGACTATAGGTTGAGATAACAATTTACTGAAAGCAAAAAGCAGTCGAATAAGAAAAGCACAGTAATAGCAACAATATTAATGAAAAGAGTGCACAGAAAGAGAAGGTTCTTTACACACAAAAAGGTGTTCACCAGTTCAACTTAGTTCCTTGTGGCTGCTGTGACAAAAACAAGGCGGCAGCTGTTCCTGTGAGCCGCACGTTGTCTGCTGTTTCCCAGACAACGATGAGATGGAATGATCCTCGCACCTGGCACTCCCATCCCTGGGCCGGAAACAATGACAAACAATGACGGATAAATCCCCCAAAATCTGGATTGTCTGCACTGTACTGCCTTTTTTTTTCAAGGGTTTTTCAAGATGGTAAAAATCACTAACCACCAAAGTGTAACTGAGAAACTGACTTCTAGGGAAAAGAAAAAGGCAAGCATTAAAACCCATCGCGAATATGGTTCCAGAGATGTTAGAAGTCTAAAGGACAGGAAAATTGCCCATTAAAACCCAGAAAAATGAGCAGTTATTTTTATGGGCAAAAAGAATAATAGTAAGTATAGTAAATATTAATTATTCTTATGAACATATTATAATTCACTTTATAAATTAAGTCCAGCCATCTGTTTTTAGCTTTATCTCTGTAGCTGTAAAAGTACACATTTTGACACTTTTTATATAATAACAGTGCTTCTTAAGTATACATTCACGCATTATATGACCTTGCATGCTAAAAGGAATACATTTTCAAAGAAACTAAAAAAAAAAACAAAAAACAAACCATGAAGACAGAAAAAAGCAATTTTGAAGAACCAAAGAATTTTATAAAAATGCCAACAAATATAAACTATACCTGTTGGAAAAAACAAACAACGCTATATCTGGAGGGAAAGAAAAAAAAAAGAAAAAAAAAAAGATAAAATTTAAGCAATTAACTAGTATGCAGCTTTAAATCACCTAAACAAAAGTAGTCATCAGTATCCTTTCAATGTATACATGGAAAAATTTGTACCTTGTATAAGCACTTGTATTTTTCCTTTGAAGAATGACATATGAAGTAAGAAGTTTAAACACAGAGAAAGGTCCTCAAGATAATAATTTTTTTCAATGAGAAAATTTATTTGAAATAACAGAAAAAAATTGCAAATTATCCTTATGCCTTTTTAGATGTTGAAAGCTATGATATTATGTCACTCATTCACTGTCATTTAAGACAGCTTCTTTAGAATTACCTAGTGCCAGTAAAGGATTAAAATCTCAATCCATTTCCCCAACTTCATGATCCTTTAATATGCAGGTTAGTTTCAGAATAAGGTAGTAAACTCAAACCTATATTGTTTTGATATTGCACACAACAATGTTAGTTTTATTTATTTTTCTTATTTATTTAACTATATCTAGTAGACAGCAACAGTGGATCACTGAACTACTTTACTAGGCCACTTTCCCAAACAGTGCAAGTTTGCATTTTCCCTTAGACTGTTGACATATGTTCTGTTTCTATAAAATCTGTGAACATGACAATCTATAACCTGAATACCCTTTTTACAAGTGTAGGGGCTTTTTCCCAGCTGTCTCCACTCATCTCTGAGTCGATCTGTGGGCAGCACTTCTGAACACTTTTTCGTATTCATCATATACAATGTGTTTAGATATTAGAGAGCATGGGATTAAGCCCTTAATGTGCTTTCCATTCCTTTTCTTTCTTTGAAAAACAAACAATAAATCCTGCAATTTGGGTTCAAATCATCCTCAAGTACATAGTCTGGTCTAATAGTGGATGAGTGTAAAAATGTAGCATAGCTAAGTCGTTGATATGTTGAGTGGGGGATTTTGCTTATATTATGTATTTATTCATGTAGAAGAGCTTTTTGAGAAGTGCTGTCTAGTGCTTTGCTGTCAATGTAGGACAGGAGTAACAAGCACTAGGATTTTTGGATTTCAGTACCTCAAAAATCAGCAGAGGAAATATTCCAGTGCCTTTTTTTGATTTTGTCACTCAGAATGAAATCTTTCTCTACTGTTTAGTGTAACTACTGTGACAGAATTGAATCAGTTGATAAGGGCTGTCTCTTTAAGTAGTCAGGCAGGTATTTTTTATTTTTATTCTAAGCCTGGGAAATTGCAGAGCAATAAGTGAAAAAACAGTGGAGCAAAAGGTACCCTGTGGTTACTGCGAATAATGTTATTGTTAAATTCATCTGTTCTAATGCTTGATCTTCATAGCAACAGTTAGAAACAGAGAAGGAGAAGCATTCTTAATCTGAGGTAGTTATTATAACTATGTTTTTTGGAAACAATGTATTGATTAAATAGACACCGTGAATTAAATAACTTTAGTTTTGACTTTTCTTCTTCTTGCTCCCAAAGTATGATGCAATAACATGAACTTTATTACAAACCGCCTCATTCCATGATCCAGTTCAACAACTATTTTACTTATATAGATCATTATTCAGTCTGGGACACATTTCTCATTAGGCGAATGCTATGCACATCTATCATTTTTAGATTCAGGTAAGGTTCTGGACATGTAATTATTAGTTAATAAAGAATCAGTATTTCTGTAATTTTCTGTTTGCTGGGACTTA